CGATGAATCGCCACGCACACTCGAAGAAGGAGACACACGGAAAAGTGTCGTACTACTACCCCAAAAAAAAACGATCACTTAGTTTACTTTTCTTCTTTCGAGTAAATAATTGTTATCAACAAAGAGTATTTTCCTGACAATAGTCTTAAAATTTACTCGTCACTAATTTGAGTAAAGTTTATCATCATACACTAAGAAAAAAATTTACTAAATTTCAAAAAACTTTTGTTTGGATACTGTGAAGATATTTGTTTAAATTAAGCAATTATTTTTTAAAATTAAAGAAGCAAATTTATATTTAAAACTTTTTTATTTATTTTTAGAAAAAATTACTTAATTTAAACAAGTATCTTTACAGTACTATCCAAATAAACGTTTTTTGAAATTTAGTAAATTTTTCTCTCAGTGTATACTAAAGAGAAGAATTTATTCAAAAATTGAAGAAATTAAATTCAAGAATTTTTATAAGAATATAAAAAATCTTTATTAAAGAAAAAGTTGACTCAATTTTAAGCAAACTGTATTTTTCTTTGAACATTTTCGATTTAAATGCTAGATTTATTAGAATTCAGAATATATTTTGAATAAATTTTTAATATTTATAATAAATTCGTGATAGATTTGCGGATATATGAATTTATGAGATATTTTTGAAATATAAATAATATTTACTCTAATACAGTATATATTTTCTTGTGTATGGTGACAACTGTATAGAAAATGACTATACGAATTTTGTATATATATTAATAAATTAATATAGCTTAATAAATCAATTTCATAATTATATTGCAACTAATGCTGGACACAATTGTAAGAACTATAAAATAAGAGCTGTACAGTTTCTGCAGCTCACACTCATAGTTTTAGTTTTAATAATTATTAAATGTTACAGAGAGAACGAATTGATTGAATCAAATATACTGCTTTGGAATAGCCCAAATAAATCTTTTGTTTGATCAAACAAAATTTTGTTTGATGTAACAAAAGCATTGTATTTATTTGCTACTTAATTCCAAAGAAATATTTTTGTTGTGTCAACCAAATAATTTGTTTGGACTATTCCAAAGAAATATTTATTTGATTCAATAAATCGTTCTCTCAGCGTATATTAATTCTATATACAAAACTTGTTTAACCGTCAGCTATATATATAAGTTATACACTGTTAGAAATTTTGTAAGTAAATTTAAGAATTTGATATTAAAATTAATAATAGTGAAGAGTTTCAACTCATAACATTAGGATTATTAATTATACATTAGTTATATTTCATATTTTTTATAAAATCTAATATTTTCTATCTTATATTTCATGTTTTCTTATTAAATTCCACATTAAATTATGAAACATTATAACACGTTATGATGTGTTAGAATAATTTTTCTAATATATCATAAGTACGAGACTGTTTCGGTTACGTGGCCTAAAAGATTCAGCTTGCAAAGTATCGTGACTTTTATCGAGACTTCAACGGAGCTATCCAGAAGTCTCTTTATATGTCGGTTCTTCTTTATGCTATCGCAGAAATTGTGCAACCATGTATTATTAAATGTAATATCGATTTTACTATTACTTTTTATAACATAGTTATGAAAAAAAACTTCACATCCCAATTATTCAATTTAATACGAATTTTTCAAACAGTGTATATATCAATATATGATAGCTATATGAAATTATTATTATAGTTGCCACCACACACACCGTGTCTTTTCTCCGAGCGCACGTCTGCAATCTGTACGTGTGTTTCCTCTCGTGGCACCGCGTATCCCCTCGCGTTATTTCGCATTTCGCGGCGAGCCGGCGCTACAGATAGACAAATGACTCCGTCACGCGAGGTATTACATACCCAATTTACGCATCGCCGTCATTAGCGTTTGCGCGGTTATTACGGATACGTTAGAATGCTTAATTATTATTAATGCTTCGCTTTCCGTTATCTCGCAACATCGCGCGCTCGCCGAGCGCGGCGTATTTACCGTAGTCCGCGGAACGAAATTGTCCATTTGTAATCAAGATGCGTTATATTCGCTTATTTGATCGTAAATGGCTCAACGGTTTCATACACCATCGGTGTATCGCCGTTATCTCGGCGAGGGGGAGGGAGGGAGATGGAGATAGAGGGACACAGGGAGTGGGAGAGCGGAGAGGAGAAAGAGAGATCTCGCGCGGTCTTAAAATATCGAAAATAAAGCCAGTCCGCGGCGAAAGAGTGCCGCGAGATCTCGCAGGAGGAGGAAAAATCGTTGTTCCCTTTGGTCTGTAAAGGATTCGCCCCGGGGTGACCCAATTGGCCGCGACTCATTCGGCTTATCGCGGAAAGAGCGCGGCGACGCGCGGCACACACTCGATTAACTCGGATAATTACGACGTATCCCGTACGTCCAGTCGTACCGAATGCCGATTACTTTCTCGTTTTTGCTATTTTGCACGTGTATATCCGTCCACTCGGCGCACGCAGACAACGTATATTTTCTAAGTACGGCGTACGTATGATGCACACGCTACTTTCTCGGTCGACCTATATGCGATTTTTTCTTTAACTCCATACGATCCTCCATGTCGGCTGTAGTATAACTCGAATCTGGGTTCCTTTCTACCGCGCATCATCAGGTACACACGCGTTTCTGTACTCGCTCAAGGTGTAGGGGGGAACGAGCAGGAACGGGATACGCGCGCGCGCGCGCGCGCTCGCGGACAAGATATGGGCTCCTCTCGTTATTTTTTTTTTCGTGTTTCTGCCAAAGAGGAGTAAAAGAGGGACGTTCTCGGTGACTCGACGATTTATGGCGCGCCTAACTATTAGGTAAACTCGCGGGTTGTGCGTCCAATGTTTCATATCCTCCTCCTGCTCCTCTTATTTTCGTCCCACGCATTTGAAATGAGTCGCGCGATATCTAGAATGCGGATCTCTCTCTCTCTCTCTCTCTCTCTCTCTCTCTCTCTCTCTCTCTCCTTGCCTCTAGCGCCCCTCGCCCCTCTTTTTGCAGAAAATGTTTAGTAAATGTTAAGCTTGTCTTGATACTAATAGTTATCTCGTTGCGAATTAATTGCGGATTCGTCGATAAATTTGATCGAGTCGAGGTTTCTCGTTCAGAGGTGGCTTTAATTGCGCACGGGAAGAGGGGACGGGGAGGGTAGGCAGTACAAGTTGCAGCGGATGTGAAACGCGACGAAGGTATTACAACTTTATGCACGCCCGTGCGAAGCGACGCGCTCTCGTGAATGAACACGCGCGCTCGAAATATCTCTCTTTCTCCGCCGGTGTTCCCTTTGCCTCGCTACTTTCTCGGATGAGTTTCCGCCCGTCATCTTCCGGATGATTTCTGTTTTTGCTCGGAAATTCGCCGTCACGAGCGACACGCCGGCAATCATCGCGTTAGGCCGCATCGCGCGCGCCGATATTTCAAGCGTAATTTTCGCGTTTCGCTTCGCACGCCGTTCCGCGTCCCTCTGTCCGTCAGTCTGTGTCTGTCTGTCTCGCGATTCCCGATCACATCGGCTGCCGCAGGGAAGACCGGTAGCTCTAGTTGGTTCGAGGAGCACGTCGACCATGCTCTTTGTTTACGTATTTATTGCGAACAGCGCGAAATCGCAAAATATGTCCCTTTTACTGCGCATAGGCACTTTTTCCTGAGTCTCATTAAAATCGAAATAATGTTACAGTAAAGAAAGAAACTGATTTGGGAGCGGGGAGTCAAGTATGTTTTGGAGCGTCTCGAAGTTTCGTATGAATATTCTCTAGAGTGACGTGACGTGTTATATTAGATAGAATGAAGCTTTCAGAACAAGTATACGATACACTCTGCTTCAGATAATAAAAGCAATTTTCATTCATAAAATGACAAAATCGAGCGTACGGACGGATGAGAGTAGAGTTGGCCTGTAATTATGAGGCCCGGCAGGAGGGACTGTGGAGATCTCTCACGCACTCAGAGAGAAAGACATGATGAGGGCTGTATAGGTGCCAACTATACGAGTTTTGTACGTAGAATTATGATGTATGCACACTCTGTACAAAGAAAAATACTTGAAAGCTTATTTGTGGAATATAAAGTTTATGCATGGAAGTAAACTTTATTTCATAGAAATGAACTTTATTTTTCGCAGAAATAAACTTTATTTCATAGAAGTGAATTTTCTCTTCCACACGTCGATTTTCAAATATTTTTTCTTCAGCGTAACTTATTAAGTTCCAGTTGCAATAACTACACAAAAATTTTATAAACTGCATACAATTCTACATGCAAAATTCGCACAGTTGTCACCTATGCAGTTGTCATTACTACGTTTTCCCTTGACCGCAGAGACTCCGAAACTATTAATCAGGATACATATTTTATGCGTGGCCTTCTTATCCTGGGATACCAGCCGACTTGACCTGGTATCGGGGAGAAATGACCACGTTGCGGCATATTCGTATTTCCGTCATTACAGAATATTACAGAACAAAATATACGGTTTATGGTCGCCGCGAACATAAACGCACAGATCTTTACTCGGAACTCTCTTTCATCGATAAGAGTGCTCGTAAATGTGTTTACAAGCCAATCAGAAGGTTTGTAAGCCACTTTAGAGAAAGGCGCTTCTTTTGATCGATAAAAGAGAATCCACACAGGATAAACATTATAGAGGAAGTCTTGTCTCGATCATGTTCGCATAATCAATTATAACAATCCAGTTGTCTAGGAAGTTGCAGTTTTGGAAATCTGAAAAAATGTGGCATCTCTCGCGCCGGTCTGCCTCTCCGGTATAAAAAAACCAATTAAAACCCAACGTCTCAGCGGCTCGCTTCATCCGTCGTTTAAAGCGATTACAAGCAGAAGTCCGCGCCGGGGCAGATCGCCATTGAGGCGGTAGTCTCGGAGTAAAACGGAACAATACGAACGATAGGACTGGAAAGTTGCTGCGGGTAGAGAAGCCAACCGACCGGTCGGTCGGTCGGTCGGTCGGTCGGTCGGTCGGTCGTTCGGTCGTTCGGTGAATAATGCGCTTACCTCGCTGGTGTAATTTGTCGTCAGTTTGATTTGCGGTCTGATCTTTCCGGGCGACTCTCGCGTTTCTTTGGCCGACGTCAAAGGCGCGGTGGTCGTGACGTCGGTGGCGACGGCGACGGCGGCGGCGGCGGCGGCGGCCGCGGCCGCAGCAGCCGTCGATTTCCTCGACAACACCGTAGCCGTGTTCTGGGTAGGCGCGATCCGCGGCGACGTCTCGGTGAAGGTGGAACTCGAGCCGGTGACGACGGCGTCCAGGTCGGCGGAGGTCGCGTTCGCCGTGAGAGCCGCCGTGGACGGCAGCGACGGCGTCGTTATCGTGACGATCGGCGAGATCGTCGGCAGCTTCAGCGTCGTCGTGGCGGATGTAACGGCTATTTCCGCCGCTGCCGTTGCCGTGGACGTTGGCGCGGATGTTGCCGCTGTCATCGTCGCCGCCGCCGTCGTAGTGGTCGCCGCTGCCAGCGACGAGGAAGGCGCCGACGAAGACGATGATGGATGCGAAGTGGCGTTCTTCGGGGTGTACGGGAACGTCGCGTTCGCGATTGGTCTCGACGCCGTGGTCGCGGTAATCACCGTCGAGGCGGCACCGTCCTTCACGCTTCCTGCGCCGGGCGCGATCGGCGTGGTCGTTTTCTTGCCCTTGGTTGTTGAATCCTCGGGACGCACCTTCGGCGACGCCGGTACAGCCAGTACCGTCGTCAGCAGCGCGAACAAAACGCACCACCTGATAGCTCGCATTCTTGACATCGCTGCTTCGGCGAGGTGCTACTTCCGGCTTTGTATTCTCGGCGCGACGCGTACCTCTCCTCGAGTTTCTTTATCGTGAAGACGAACTCGCGGTATCACTGCGAGATATTGTCGGGCCTCCTCGGGGTGTCGCTTATAGGATCTACAAATAATAATACAGAGACTGTATTGTTATTACTATTATATTCGACCGTATTTATAGAGTATATTAAACGGCGATAAGATGCAATTATGAACATCTCGGAAACGTCATTTTTTTGTAAAGAAATCAAAATTGTTTTCTCTTTTTTTAAATAGGACTACATCTTTTTTATCCGTAGTATCGCATCGAAGGATCAAAACTAACTCAATGTAATAATTTTTACTAACATTTAACGGTAGAGATACAGACTGAAAATACGATTATGTTTGAAGTACAGTGTAATGATTAATATTAGGTGCTCAGCATAACGAAGTGTAATCTATTTTCTGCAACGCAGAATTCCGTCCTTTGTAACAGAGTTTTATATGTTGCATCAATTAGGATATCTTCATTTAGGTTTCTGCATGTGTGTTAAGCTTGATCTACAATGTATTCTTTGCTTCCTGCTTCTTTTCCTTTATCTCTTTCTGACTCAAACCTTAAGCTTTAAGCCAGAAAAAGACAAGAAACAGAACGCGAAGAGCATATTGTAGATCAGGCTTTAAGATTATCGAAATTCTTCATTATTATTTCACTTTGTTCTTTGTTGCTGTGAACTAGCAATAAAGATAACATTATGAGTTACTGTGCTGAATTTGTTTTAATTCTCAAGAGGTCGTAAAAAATAGTAAATTTTATATTTTACTGTACATTGTTTTACCATTGTACATTGACATTGTCTTCCCAAGAAGGGAATTCTTCCTTCGTACACAGAGAGAACGATTTGGTTGAATAAAATAAACACTTCTTTGGAATTGTTTAAACGAATTTTTTAATTGATCGAACAAAATTTTGTTTGACGCAACAAAAATATTTATTTTCGACTTAGTTTTAAAGAAATATTTTTGTTGTGTCAACCAAATAATTTAAATAATTTGTTTGGACTGTTCCAGAGAAATGTGTATTTGATTCAACAAATCGTTCTCTCTGTGTATGAGAAAGTATAAATTTGATGAACAAAAGCATTTTGACTTTATCTTTCTCTCTCTTATTTTCTTTGCTTTTTGCAAAAAAATTTTGTTCTTTTACTATATAATATACTGTATATTTTGGCATCGTTGTCTCGAAGAAGGGAATCACATATATCCGCGATTTGTGAACGTGATAATATAGAACGTGAGGTATCGTCCATTTTTTTTATATACACATCATTATATATATACAAACATACATCGGTACACACATACATATATATATATATATATATATACAGATACACATGCACACCTACTGTCCCGAAGCAATGTTTACTTCGGCACTGCCTTAACAGGGCAGAGCTCTCGCTCTCGCAACGGTAATTAGATTTTTCTCGGGTATAGTTAAGTACATGCTAACGTGAGTTACAGCGTTCGCCATTTCGTCGCGAATACGAGACGAAGCTCGTAATCCAGCCTCCCTTTTACCGTTTCTCTCTTCGCCGCTGTAATTTTCTATCTGTCTCTCCACATCTGCACGGTCTCTGTATGGTTGTACAACCGAATGGGCCATTCCTGGTATAAGTAAACTCAACGCAACATGAAAACTAAACGTCGCATCTGTGCACGCGATACGGAAAACGGTCGAGAGATAACTGCAACATGTCAAGTTCAATGATACTTGGCGCCTGAAGAGGTGGTAGTGGAGTCTCTCTCTCGTTACGGCCGGAATATTATCTAACGCAATCGCAACACAATGAATCTTGCGCCGCGAACGAGAGTAGTCTGCCGAAATCTGTGTCGATCTGGCACAGACGGCCGGTTTTCCTCAAGAGAAAATTCATCAGGAGACATTTTTCCTGCGACTTTCGTGCAGCCATTTCAATAGTTTTTAGTTCTCCTTCAAATCAAATCGAACTCGACTACTTCCCTCGACTAAAATGTTTATTGATGAGTGAGAGTTGGTTGTAAAAACGGCGGGAGAGTGAAGAGCGAGAGGAAAGAGGAGCGCACGTTTGTTTGCTAATTTTCTTGAACATTATCCAACGCAATGAATCGGAGCAAATGAGGAATGATCTATCGAAATATCGGGACGGGAAATTTTCCCTGCGTTCTCCTCAAACGAAGGATCATTACGGGACTTTCTTCTCGCGACAACCATTTTAATTTTTTTTTTTTTTTCAAATCTATCGAAATGTCAAGACGAGAAATTGTCCCTATGTTTTCCTCAAACGAAAATTCACCATATGTCTCTTTTCTCGAGCGACTTTGTGGTCATTTCAATATATTCTTCTTTCATATCGGATCGAATATCAAGTTAAATTCAATTATTCTCGAGTAAAACGTTTATTGACGAGTAAGTGGAGATCGGAAAAGTGAAGAAATATGCAGACAAGAAATTTCTTCCGTGTTTTGTTCAAATAAAACTTCGTCATAAGACTGCCATTGCGACTTTGCGGTCATTTTCAACATATCTTCAAACCAGATCAGACTCAAAGAAATTCTTCTCGCTCGAAATGTTCGTCAACGAGTGAGAATTAGATGGAAAGAAGAAGAGTGGAGAGACAGAGAGAAAGAGAGGGAGGGAGAGAGAGAGAGAGAGAGCGAGGCTCGTTCGTCTTCCTGAATATCCGTGCATCGGTCCATGGCAAGTTGACCGCTTATCTGCCTACCTACCTACGTATTTTCCTTTCACGTGCTCGATCTTGTCCGACGTGCTGCAACAGTTATCGCACGTTTGCCATACGACACTGGTGAAATTGGGTCATTCGGTACAAACCATACGAGCCGTTATCTCGTTGCATTTGCAAGGCCGTATCGAACCGCACGCTTCGGACATCAGATGTTAGACATTACGCCTCATTAGAATATCTCCCGTGTCGCTGAATACGATAGATGCGCTATCTCGCTTATCTGGAAAACGACGCGGGGCGGAACGAAATATCCAACTTCATCTCGATAACGAGAATCGTTTGCGCGATACGGCGACAGGCAGTACACGGAGGAAGGGGGGAGCAGCTTCGAGAATATGCACGTTCGGCAATTTGCGGGACTAACGAGACTGAAAGGAAAGCGCGTCCTCTCCTCGACTGTACAAAAGTCCGTAATTAGTAATGGATATAAGCTCTCTCACGTGCCTCTCGTTAAATCTCTTCCTCCTTCCCTCTTTCTCTCTTTTTCTTTCTCTGTCTCAATAGTCGTTTATGCTTCTACTTTGTCAACTTAGGAAATACTTATATCTCATAGGATAATAATGAAATAGGAAATAGTTTATACTCTACTCTACTTTACTCTACTCTCCTCAGCTTTCCTCTCCTCTCCTCTCCTTTCCTCTCATCTACTCTACTTTACTCTACTCTACTCTACACTACGCAACTCTATTCTATTCTACTCTACTCTACTCTACTCTATTCTACACTATTCTATTCCATTCTACTTCAGTCTCCCCCCTCCTCTTTTTCTCTCTCATTCACCCACTCACTCATTCTTTCTCATGAAATTGCTCGCATTCGCGTCTCTGAGCGACACATGAGAGATTTCGCGCGTTTTAAAAGATGACGCCGAGAGACAAAGAGAGAGAGAGAGAGAGAGAGAGAGAGAGAGAGAGAGAGAGAGAGAGAGAGAGAAAGAGAGAGCCCCGACCGGCGTCAACGTGCTGACGTGCCCGCCTAACGGATCTTTCGTAAATTGGCTTAACGTGTTATAGCCCTTTTCCTTATTGTAGCCCCGCGCGTTCATTGTACCCGCGCTCTCGTCGCTGCAGTGAGATTCGAGCGAATAGCCGGCTCCTTGCGGCGTAACGTGACATCAAGGCAGCCCATATGTTCGCTCTCGTGTAATTTGGAATACGAGCTGCTATTAAGCATAGCAATTTGCTTCGGGAAATGCAGTCGTCGAGGAGACGCAAGCTAAAGAGGAGAGCAGCTCACCGCCGTGTCTCATCCGTCTCGGACGAATCGGTATCATCGCGGGGCGAGGAGGGCGCACGCGAGGAATGCGCGCGAGAAACGCGCGCGAGAGGAGAGTTCGCTATTTGGAATAAGATACTCAATAAGCCGGGGTACACCCACCCGTCTCGCATCGGTAGCGCCGATAGTTGGACACGTTCCGTAGATCGTAACGGAAATAGGAAAAGCAAAGCCGCCGATGTCGGAATGCGAGCCCGCGTCGGGCTTCTTCCGCGACGGAATTATCAATCCGCGCCTAATGAACGTTGACCGCGTTGATTCGACCGCTAATAGGGCGTACTTTCGTGATTCCATTCTCCCCTTTCCCTTCGTCGGGACGATCGTGCATCTCTTGAAATTACATTTTCCTGCTTTAAACCTCCATTTAAGAGTTCACCGCGTCGCGACGACGCGGAATCTAATCGGTCAGAAGTGAATAATCACCATGTATCGCGATATATGCAGCAGTTGGAAGTAACAGTTCACGAAATCGTGTTGCAATCGTAAAACAAATGGACCAATAAGAGCCGAGCGCAGATTAGATAGTGGACTTACTTATCACTGTATATCGAGCAGCCGTAATTTATCATTGAAATCGTGCACGCAATTAATATTAGGTTGGCACAAGAGACATTTCTTAGTCCTCGTTAAATTTCTGAAAAAATAGCCAGTCGACGTTATCTATTTCATCGGCAGAAATTGCTGCTGATCCGAGCTTGGAGAGAGAGATATGATATACAGTGTTCTAAATCCGTTTTAGTAAGGGTAGATTGGGTCAGACTGAACAAAAAAGTCCTCTACCATTTTGCAAGTGATGACGTGGATGTTTAGTTATTCAAGAAGATTGGTACGCGATAATGCACCAGTGTTCTTTAATTAATAACTATAAACCTACGTGCAGTCATTCGGCAGAATAGTAGAGGTCTTTTTTGTTCGGTTCGACCTAATTTACAAGCATGCACGACGATGGAGCTGTCACAACTCGTCAATTGCATGGCGTGAGATCATTTACAAGCTTTCTTCGATTATAATAACTCAGACATTTTACGTGGTTTTTTGAAAAACGAGAGGAATCTTTCGTTCCGTTTGACCCAGTCTACACCCTCGCGCGCGACCGATGGCACTATTGTTCCGGGTCACTGTGTACATACAAGTTCGTTCTCTGTGACTTGGCAATCACAATAGATCTTTCTTAGGTCTTAGGCACGAGCCTAAGTTCAGACTTCAGTTCGTTTAAGAGACTTTAGCGAGCAAGAAAGCGAGAGACACGCGGGAGATTTATTAGAAATCCACGAGATGGACCAGGTATGCTGAGCTGCGCGTGTAAATTGCCGAAAGCGCGAGTGCGTGTGCACGCGGACGGTTCGAGTCGCGATGGCAACGGATATTTTAATATCGTACAGAGACAGCACTCATACCTGCTCTCTCTCTCTCTCTCTCTCTCTCTCTCTCTCTCGGCGCAGCGAGCGCGTAGGTCGTGGCGACCCTTGACCTTGACTTTCGTCCTCGCTCCACCTCGACCGCGCGACCTCGTCGTCGGCGCCGACCTCGACCGCGATCCCCGCTTAGTAAGGAAGGAAGGAAGGCGATCGTACCGCTGCGTATTGGCCTGCCCCAACGCGTCCGCGCTGACAGCTCTCCTGGGTAGGTCGATGTCTCGATCCTGACCCCGGTCTCTCTTCCGTCTCTCCGGAGAGGCGCGCGCGCGCGCCCGTGCTGCGACTCCGCCGCTGACTCTCGTACGCACTAACCCAGGCGACTGCGATCCAGGTGAGCGAGCAGCGGCCGCCAACGTTGGTGGACGGCTTCGCGGTGGCTCGGCGAGGTCCTCTTCCTCCGGGCTCGCGCGACGGGTTACTGCCGTCGTGCTTCGACACCCAGGAGATCCGATAGCTTCGCGATGATGTTTCCGTCTTCTCCGGCGCGCACACACCCTCTTCCGCGTTCCAGGGCAGCCTCGTTCACCGGGATGAACGGGATGTGTTGCTGGCTCCTCTCGGGAGAGGGAGAGAAGTAGAGAGAGAGAGAGAGAGAGAGAGAGAGAGAGAGAGGAAGAGACAGACAGACGGACAGTGTCGCAGTGCGCTCGACGATGGCGATAGACGACAGGTAAACTTCTCTCGCGATGAGATTGTTTCGGGGTTTGCGCCCGACTGCGGCCTCGCGTAGGACGCTACGAGCCTATGAGTCCCCGCTAGTCCCACTTACCAACCAACCAGAAACTGCTCGGGTATAGTCGGTATCCTGAGCCGCATCTCCGCCAATCCTCTCTACCTTCCACCGCGACTCGCGGGCGCGTGTACACCGCGAGGCTGTTGCTCGCCCGCGATTACTTGCTTTTCGTCTTTCATCGACGGAGGCCGCCGGGGCCGGGGGGATTAGCGAGATTAGCGATCGCGCGACGTTTTATGAACTGCCGATTGATATATGTCGGCGATGTACGGCCGAGCGGTTCTGCCTCTTTCTCTCTCGACGGCCCGATTTCCCGGGGCCCACGCAAACGGGACTCGAAACGCCCCTGTCCCGATTTCCTAACTCCTAAGACAATTCCCAGACGAGAACTAGCCGACCGAATCTCATTGTGTATCATTTTCGTTTCGGATGATCTCACAGTGACGGATAAATGGACGAAAATGTGTTGTCTTGGGATCAGATCGTGTGGAGAGAATATCATAGTATTTTTTGTTTCATATAAGTTCTTTTTAATTTTGCTATGTTCCTAGTAGCGCAGCAATAAACTGTCAGTAAGATTCTTGCTAAGGAGCAAATTTTATTCGAAACATACACGGAGAGCATATTATAAATTCTATTGTATATAAATTCTGTTCAATTTTACTGCGTCTCTCTCTTTTTCTCGAGTAGCGCGAGGATAAGCCAATAAAGTCTTGCTAAGAGAAATACAGAAAATTTCGCTAGAAATATAAAAAACTTTTTAATAGCACATTTCAATTCCTGAGACATGAATAGAGCACATATGCAGTGAAAGGATGACCAGTTATTGCAGAATGTCGACCTATTTTCTAGGTTTTAATGATTCTACGTTCTACAATAATTTTTACTGTAACATTCTCTCCGTGTAGAAAATTCTTTAATCGCACACATCTCAATTCCTGAGATATAAATAGCACGTATGAAATGAGAAGAAGGTCAATTATAGAATGTCGATCTATGCCTCGATTACAACATTCTGTAGTAAGAGTTTACAGTAAAATTCTCTTCCGTGCGCTATTCATCACAGCCACACGAAGTATCACACATTAATGCATAATTCATTAATTTCCTCTTTACGTAGCAAATAAACGCGAACCACATCGTGCGGAACTGTTTTCCGCCAGAGAGCGATCCGCTATCGCGTTAACTTCGTGCTCTCTCTCT